AAAAAAAAAATACAGATGTAATTTTCCTTAATTATTGAAAATAAGAGGATAAAAAAAGGAGCAACAAAGATATTAACAGTACGAATATTTAATTGAATACAAGTGTTAATCAACTTACCAGTGATCAGTGAGAATTTGACTGCAAATTTTGGTGGAATTTTTGTTATCACATTTCCTGACAAATTACATCTTTTTAACTCTGTGTGTCTCATTAAATGATAAACTGCATCAGGTACTTGCATCAATTGGCATTCTGACAAATCTGGAAAAAAATATAAAATAACAACATTAAAAAAAAGCGCTATGTAAAATTATTTCGTTTCACGTTAGAAAAAAAAAAATTTTCCGAAATCTATATATGTTAGATTAAATTAAACATATCGACAGTCATCGCGAACGATATATCGTTAAGCATATATAATTAGATTACATGTCGTAGAAAATAGTGATGTATTCAATTTTCACAATTGGAGCACGCAGACATTGTGCCCGCCCGTATTGTGTTCTTGACAGATCAGCTGTCGAACTAGGTCAGTGTATCAATATTCCACGACGATAACAATAGAAGTTTGCACACTTTTTTTTATTATTAATCTTCATTTTCAAAATTACAGGTCGATTTTGGCTTGACTTGTAATCGCAGGCACTATATTAAAAAAAAATTTTAAACAGCTTGAACATGTACGATTTTTTTTTTATAAAACCCGCGATACACCTGTAGCAGCGAAAACTAGGTCATGAACTAAATTAAAGTATTTATATCGACGACAATTGATTTAAACAGATTGGACCTGAATTTTTACGAAAACCGTGATTTTAACAGTCTGCCGAAGTAATTTCTCAAGTATTTTTCAAAGTACAGTTTACCAAGATTGTTAGTCTCTTGTGCATCCTCGCAGCGCAACACCACTCTCGTGACGGCGTTCGCCATTTTGCTGAAGCAAACTGAGTCAAATCAGACGTCCCACCACCTTGATGCGAAACATTTATTTCCGACGAATTTCAGAAATAAATAGCACCGGTTCGATGGCCTTGGCATTCATTCTACTTTCCGGAAATTCCCGCTACGACGTGATTTACGTAGAAATCAAGGACAATAATACTCGTAAAACGTTCGATACATTTTAACAATTCAAGTGTCATGTTCTTTTTAAAACAATTGAAATTGATCGATTCAAATTTATGAATGTCTCTCGTTTGAATTGGCTAAATCGGCTAAAAACTAATTTTAACAGATGTGAAGATAGATGCATTTTAGCGATATGAAGATAGACGCGAGACACTCGCTTGTTTGATATTGCGCTAAAAGTCTCGTAGCCATTTTTTGTGCGCCTGCGCATTCAGTTATGATTTCGTTGTGCTTTACAATCGTTTCGCGTCAATCATTGTTTTTATAATTTATGTTGTTACAAATGTTTACACATGACGTAAACCAATTAATTTTATTATCGAAGTGATTATGTATAACTGATGTGTGTAATAGATCATACAGGATACACATTATTTCGTGAACCGATAATTATACTACCGAACATTTGAAAACTTTGCTATAAAGAAGCTATATTTTTTTTTGCAAACTTTTTTATATTATTGTACATTTTGAACTTTAACAATTTCATGTTGTATTACATTTCGAACAGAAAGATCTTTTAACATTGTTAACTGAGCCCAGATACCACCTGATTATATTTTACTTTGTATTTATATTTTACTTTGTATTGACAGCGACGATGACTTTTTGCTGTGAAGTAGTAAATGGCTTTGGTGGCAAGCTACCATTTAAGGTTACGTTTCCATACATGGTGGCGCCTCACGTACCTGTATTTGTATATAGCGTACAAATATGT